GCTGCCTTCCTTGCAGGTGTGGAGGTGGGTGTGGCAGAGGGTCGTCAGGCAGAGTGGAAGCACCTGAGGCAATTAGCAACACTGGCCCTGTGTGCCAGAGCACCCAGTATAAAAACCCTTTGGATTCTCAGTTGGTCTCTCGCTCCTTCCTGAGACACCCATTTTGGTTGCAGTTATGGTTTGTGGCGACACCATACAACACTGCATATACACTTTACACGCACCCATCCACTCACTCACTTACCGGTACTTACACTGCTGAAATGACTAACTTCACATGTCACTGTTAGTTTATGTTTGTCTTTTATATTACTTTAAACTTAATAAATACTTAATAAACTGCTTCATTGAATGCGTCTCCCTTTTTTGTCATGGCCGTTCGGCCTGGTTTGTGACAAAAGTAGACTTCATGGTGGAACAGTTGTATTGGACTGCATTAGATTGTGCAGGTGTACATGATTAAATGGCCACTGAGTCTACAGAGTATGAATAAATAGCAAACACCTGTCTTGACACAATTAGCAAACCTGCATCTGTTGAGTGAAGCTGTGAAATAAACGGAGCTAAATTATACAATACTGAGATCAAGACAAAATATTGGATGTCTTATAAATTTATATCAAATTCTAGCAAAGACTCTGTATGAATGAATTTGATTGAACTGCGTTTTAATATTTAGATAACTGTAAAGAAGCTTTTTTCCCCCTGCACATTAAATGTTTTACATAAACCACAGCTACACTTCAGTGGGTTTCATTTGATGAAAAGGAAGTTCGAGACTATTGCAACTCTAAGATGAGTCTTGAGCAAGAAGAGCATACAGGTCTGTAATAATGATCTCGCCACCAAAACCACTTGAACAACTGCATGCACGTTAGATTCTGCTACTTCAAATTAACAACATGGAGAAAATGTATGGCATGGCCAACCAAGCAGACAAAGATTAAGATGTCTACGTGTTGAAGGGTTATTTTGGCCTGCAACTATACATTGGTGGTCACATCTTTCCCCGTTTGACCCATTTTCCTCCTGCTCTCAGTCTTGCTATCATTTCTGCTCCTGTATATGCACAGAGGCGATCACACATGCACACACCCGGGCGCACAAACAGCCTATACTCACTGACACACCGCAGGCTCTGCTTGTAAAGGCCCCAGATGAAGTCTCCACACAGGTCACACCATGTGGGCTGAGAATGGCTGCAGGGCTGGAAGTTGTGTCCCTCCCCCTTCTCCTCAGGGACCTGGGGGTCCTGGGTGCTGCTCAGGACTCTGATGATGCCCGCCCGGCTCAGCAGGTCTGGCACCTTCCCCGGGCTGATCCTCAGGGCGTTGGCTCTCTCGAGGCGTGGAGGTGAGCAGGGCGAATGTGTGCCGTGTGTCAGCTCTATCTGCTCTCTGTCCGCCCTCAGGTCACGGAGCTCGATGAACTCCCCCCAAGACATCGTGTCACTCAGAGCCCGGCTGCCTCCACCATCACTGACAGACAGAAGAACATACAATAATGCACGGGTACTGCCAAAGACGACTTGGCAAGAGTTTAACACTTAAAACAATGTGATCTTGAAATGATAAGGTTCTATCTCAATTTAGGATCTAAAGAAATCTAAATTTAAGACTGCGTTATTACTTTAAAAACTATAGGATTATTCTTGTGAATATTCCTTTTTCTTAGGAGAGAACGAAATATCAACGAGTGCCTGATTAGACATATGTATATATATGTATATATATGTATACATATATATATACACACAGTATATATATATATAGTATATGCTGAGGAGTTGGCCATATCTTTTTGGCTATCAGCACAAGTACTGGCTAATACTGGAAGGACATACTATATATATATATATATATATATATACAGTGCTGGCAGAAGTATTCAGATCCTGTACTTGGGCAAATGTAGCAATACCACAATTTAAAAACTACAAATGCTGCTTTCATATTTTTACTTCAGTAAAAGTACAGAGGTATAACGGTTAAATTTACTTAAGGCATCAAAAGTAAAGGTACTCATGCAGTACAACTCCTCCTTAACATATTATTGGATTATTATTGCTGATGCTTTAGGGTGTAAACAGCATTTTAACGTTAAAGCCTGTTAAGGTGGAGATTTCAACAAATATATACTGTTAGGCAGATTAATTTGTATCAATACTGTATATTTTATAAACCAATCATATTCAATACAGCTGTCAAGTAACTGCAGTAGAGTAAAAAGTACAATATTTCACTCTAATGTAATATAGTATAGGCTAAATATAGTAGCATATGATGGAAATACTAAACTGTACTTAAGTAAGTCACGTTATATTGCTAGAGTAAATGTATTTAGTTACATAAGTAGCCTTTTATGTCATGTTTGTTTAGCTTAGGCCGTTTTCAAATAGCAGATTTCATACATACTATTTGTATATGGTGGTTTAGTAGTAACATATTTTGAAAATGACACGCTGGTTTCTCATCCATAACATAGGCCTCCTCTATAGAAATAGGGTAATTCATATTTGACGGTCTGCTAAACCATCATGAGTAAAGCAGAGTATTGAAGTATCCATAACAGCCTAATGTAAAACATACTACTTTATGTTAATGTTTCAGATGTGGCCTTCTCTCCGTTTTACAAAACACGAGTAGCCTCGTAATTCCTGTAAGTAAAACAATGCAATTATGAGTGCATTATGAAAAGTCAAATGTTCAGTCCCAAACAAACAGCTGCTTGGTAAATGAACTCAACAACTCCAAAGTGAATCTTCAGTCTAACTCACCGACACAGTGGAGAAAAACTGCCCCGTGGAAACCGCTTTGTCTCAAAACTTCTTCCATCCGAAGAGAAAAACTTTCCGCAGCAATTCTCTGACGGTTTCCAAGTAACGGAGGTGTGCAGCCGCGGCTACATCTCTGGAAATAAACCGTTCATCACCGGCCGGTTCCAGCGGCGACGGAGCGCCAACTCGTCTCTGTATCATCAGTGTGAACGCTGAATCTGAGCACTTTTCAAGACACGGGGCATCTTTCGTCTATCCGTCAGAGCGTGCTGTAGGAGGAAGCAGCTTATCATGAAAAACGGAGAGTAAGATGATCATGAGCTGCACCGACATCCGGCATGTTTTCACATAGGGGGTGCTTCTGAGTCCGGAGCTCAGCTGAGTGGGCGTGCAAAGTCCCCCGTCCCTGCAACCACTGTCTCCAGCTGTGATGGATCTTCGGTTTCATTTACAGCAGTGGAAATCTAAAATATATATAGCGTATTATATACTGTATTTATACATCAAACTATAAATATGAATAAGGCTTAAACCTGCAGCCAATCTTGATTTGTTTTTAAGGACAGAAAGTCAGCAATCCAACATTCAGGGTGAAGTCTGCACGTAAAAGAATAATAACCAAGAAGAGGAGCCACAAATTCACTTTAACTCGGTGACACTATAAATAGGTGACTCTATCTGTTGTGGTCACGTTCTTAACAACAATGGGCAAGAAGACAAGGTAGAGAGAGTTGTTAAAAGCATTTAATTTGTAAATCAAAATAACAGTATAAGTCTTGACAGAGAGGGAAGAACTTTCTTCAGATAGACAAATGATTTGTTAAAACGATATGACATAAGCTTATCATAAACAAACAACAGTGTTCAAAACAAAAAGGAAACAACTAAATTCTGTAACTGGGCATAAACTTTACCTCACTAACAGAAAGATTTAAAATCCAAGTTTGCATTGTGCACCTGCAGATCTGTTTCTCCCATCTTTTCCCATCCACCACCGGTCCTTGCATGTGCTTCAGGCTCTCTTTGTCAGCTGTTGACGTGCAGGTCTCTCTGGATCTTCCCTGTGACCTCAGTTGTGAGCTGACAGGCTCTCTTGTGTTTAGACCAGTGCTTCACCTGACATTCTCTGTGAAAAAATAAATAAATAAGGTGAACGAGACTTCACATCAGCAGACACAGAACACACATTAAGTGTATGATATCAACAACAAAAGTTATTAAGATATTCAGTATCACAGGAAAGTATTTGTTATAGTCATGGATCAGATGTAATTTTATATCTGATGTAGAAACACAGACTTATATCCAGCCATCCATCCATTTTATGGCAATAAGGTAATCCATGTGTCCTTCTACCTAGCAGGTCCTCTAGCTCTGGGTGATTCAAGCCATCTCCGATATGATATCCCTCAAGCATGTTCTGGGTCTGCCCCATGAGGCATCCTCGTCAGATCCCCAAACTACCTCCACTGGCTCCTTTCAGCCAGAGGGAGCAGCAGTTTTACTCTGAGCTCTATGCGGATGTCGGGACAGGAAACTAAATTTGGCCGCTCATATCCAAAATCTCATTCTTTCAGTCATTACCCAAAGCTTGTGATCACAGGTGAGGTTTGGAAAATACATCAGCGGCTAAATCACAAGCTTTGCCCTCAGACTCAGCTGCCTCTTCACTACGACAGTCCGGCAGATCTTCTGCATTACTGACTGACTTACTTCTATATATATATATATACACATATATATATATATGTGTGTGTGTGTGTCTTACCTGTGACAGTACCATTCTCCCTGACACCGAGAGCATCTCTTTGCTGCCTCTTTCCCACAGGATCCACACTTTGGCTTCTCAGGGAGTAAACTCTCCATCACATCAAAATTGTACACCTGGTACAACCTGGTGAAACAATCGCAGTAATAATCACAGAGATGCTGATGGAGTTGATTTAGTTGTATCTCAGACTTGTGTTTTCAGCATAAAAACTCAAATGACCTCTCTGCCAGCAGCTTCAGTTCACTTTCAGATGGGCTGAAAGTTTCTTTGACTTGATACTTTGCTATTGCCTTCCACTTCCCAGAATTCTCTCTCACAATGTGGTTCCATATTTCTGGGATCTATACATAAAGCAAAGCTTGAGGGCAAATGCACAGAGGACACAGTCACTGTAGGTGCAGAGGTATGTGTGGATGTGTGAGTGTGTACCTGCTCCAAAATGAGTTCTTTTTTCGGAGGGGCGGGGTCTGTAACGGTGAGATGAGCCAGGTAACGCTGCAACTCCGCCAGGTTCGGCAGCTGATCGATCAACACCTCTGTCATGAAACCTCGAAGCTGTGCCACATGAACGATAAGCCCACAAATAACCCTCAGCAACAAAAACAAGTCAACTTATCAGAACTTCCCACAACAAGAAAAAGAAATGCCCTGAAGAGAGGATGCACAAGGCTCTCTGGTTATATAAGCAATGCAACAGGAAGAGGATGAGAAAGCGTATAATAGGAGGAAACATCTGAGTCAAAACAACCATTGGAAACTGAATCTGTGTTTTAACAAGCAAGGAGATCAGATGTGATGTTGGAGGACAATGATCTGGCACTCACACACTTCCTACGCTTCAGTTTACAGCTGATATACAGTAGCCACTTAGATTTTGGAGGAGGAGTTGATTGATACCATTTAAAAACCTTGATTAACTAAAAATGACTCAAAGAACATAAAGGAATGATGAAAATGTCTGTCAAAGAGTCAGTCAACAGCTTATTCACAGTATACCTTTAGAAGCTGGTTCTTGTTGAAGTTGTTGAAGTCATATTTCCTTTGGCAGTCTTCCTTCAGCAGCAGATTGTAAAGGGAAATCCAGACCTGACCGTCTAGTTTGGTCATCTTTAAATGGTCCTCAACAGGAATCTTCTGCCATCTGCCATTTATGTACTTTTCTACCTCGCCTTCAGTAGGAGACAGAGAGTACACCATTGAATGAAGGGTCACGAGGACACATTTGATATGCAAGAAGTGTGACATACCGTCTTTACAGCGACTCCAAGGACAGCAGTCAATCAACTGAACCAGCACACACGGCATGTTGTGGGTGCACAGCATGCGATTGATGACACTAATGCTGTAAGGAAAAAAAGTGTCCTTCTGTCAGGTGAAATGAACGGTAAATTAATAAATTATTATTATATAAATATATATGACTGATAAATTGTCCATCTTCGAGTCATCCCAGATCCTCAAATGTGAGAATTTGCTGCTTTTCCCGTTTTATATTATTGTAAATATTAAATCTTCGGGGTTTGGACTGTTGGTTGGACAAAAGAAGGAATTTGAAGATGTTAACTTTTCTGAGAAATCACAACACACATATTTTTTCAACTGCATCTTGTTTTATAAACAAAATGATTGATAAACTTGTGGAATGATGAAATGATTAAAATAAGTTAGTTACAGCATTAGTAAGTATAATGCAATGGTTAAGCTTGAAGTATAAATGCCTAAAAGTATTGGACAATTTCTCAGATTCTCTACTGTAAACTTGTAAAGGTTCTTGGTCCAGACACTGCCGTACCTCTCGGTGTGATCAGTGATGAAACGCAGCACAGAGACAGCCTTCTGGGAGATTTCAAACTCCCCTGCAGCACTCTGCATCTGTAACTCGTTCATCAAGTCTGCCGAGGATGCAACAGCTTTCCCTTTCGGGTTGCGTTGGTCATGAGCTGTTGCGGCTTCCCTGGTCGCTTTGCTGACCAGCAGGGTGAGTTTGCGGTGGCAGTAATCCACCAAGTCAAGGACAGAGTCACCAGCCGCCTCACATGAATCCTGCACAACACACAAACCTTTTTCAACATGTCACATAAAGCTTCATTCATAACAATATTTATAGAGAGAGAGAGAGAGAGAGAGAGAGAGAGAGAGAGAGAGAGAGAGAGGGAGAGGGACTGGTCTGCCCCGCCGCATGATTACTTTCATGCTTTGTGACGACCCCTCCCTTCCACTAGGGGTCTGTGTCCTGTTTCCTGTCAGTTTGTCTTTCAGGATGTTAATCGGCCACTGATGAGCGACCCCTGAGCCTGGTTTGGTCGCAACTATAAAGGCTCCCCTCTTCTTTGGCTGTGACTTCCATGGCTGCTTATTTGTATTGATTGATTTTAGTTTAGTTTGATGATTTGTTCTTAAATAAATGTATATTTAGTGCTTTTTCCACTCGTCTTGTCTCCCCTATGTTACAGCCTTTGAGTCGGGTTGTAACACTTTAACATATTTAAAAATATGACGCAAATCAATATAATTTAGGGGGGTGTGTTTGTGTACATACTGACCTTGTGGTACATTATCGTTTCAAGTAGGTTTATGATCGTGGCTTCATGGTGGATCTAAGATGGAAACATTAAAGTACACACAAAATCAGTTATGAGTGCTGCAAGCTGACCATCATTTTACACGTTACACCTCATGTTACACTCACCACCATGTAAAGATGAAACGTGTCCTTGGGATTAAAGTCCTCCAGCTGACATAAAATGGGGAACACTTTGTGCTTCCAAACTTGGACAAGGATCATTTCATGGACCAGAACAGGTATCTAGAAAAAAAGATACAGCAGATGAATGTGTTTATTGAGATATCTTATGTAATTCTACCTTTAGAAACAACCACAAACGTGTTTCAAGATACTTTTTTCTTAGCAGGGCTTCACTAAATTCCTCTGACATTTTAACATCACAAGCAGGGACGTATAGCAGTCACCTTTCCATACGACACCAGGAGCTCCATAACAAACTCATCGTGCACGGCAGAAGCATTCAGTATCGCCTGCATGTTGAGTTTCTCAATGTGCGCATGCTGTCTGAACCACCTGTCAACACACAAAGAGGAAAATCACAAGAAAGTAGTTGTGCTTTTCTCAGACTTCTCAGGTCGCCTGTGACAGGTCTGATGACTAGAATAAAAACTAACATTAAGTTTCGATGCACCAACTATTAATTCATGTCGTGGTTATATCTTACTCATTCATGTCTTTCATATCTTACGTAGAGCACTTTGAATTGCCTTGCTGAAAGGTTCTTTACAAATAAAGTTGCTTAGCCTAGAGTAACATTCTGGCCACACTCCAAATTATATACATACACCACATGACGTACAGAGGCAGTGTTTAAAGGGAGTTCATTTTAAAGAATTTAACAGACACTTCTTTATTCTACCAGTCAACAGTACTCATAGTCACAGCTAGAAGTGGGTCCTGGAGACTTTATTTTGAGTTTTACAAACAAAAAAAGTCACCATGTAATTTATTCATATTTAGTTCTGTTGTCTGTGAAAAAAAATTAATTAAAATATACTATCTAATGTCAGTTGTTTGATTTGTACTGTATTGTTTGTTCTGACTTTACATGGATGTGTGTGATGAACTCTCATGAACACTCATTTAGACTATACTACCGCAGTGATTTCAAGTAGTTTTCAATTAGACTTTGCTATTTACTAATACTGTGATTTGAATACTTCTGTGGGTGTGTTTTTTAGGGTGTCTCGAGACATTTTAACCTCCCTACTGTTCAATGTAACGTTCATTTCCTCGCCATCTTTTGGTTTTGTGTGCACCTGCTGCACAGTACATCCTACGTCACTGGGTTTAGGTAGCTAGTCACAGACATACGTTACAGGTAAGCTAACGTTAGCACGAGTGTGTGTTAGCTGGTTACGCTCACCTCTCAGAGCCTACTTCCTTGAGAGAGAAAGTTTCCAGACTTTGAACAAACCCCTCTGCTTCGACAGGTAGAATCACAGACGTGTCCATGTCGTCACTGTCAAGTAAAACAAAACAATACTCTTACTAGCTAACGTTATCTCTTCAGTCCAGTTGGTTCGGAGTAACAGTTACCCTCTGTTTCCTGTGGTTGGCATGGTGACTGCATACCAAGCGCACCCAGGCCAGAGCGCAGTTCCTCGATGCCGCCAGAGGGGGGCGGTGCTTCTTAAAGTATGAAACGGTCTACAGGAGGAGGTACAGTTTCAAGAGCCAGAGTTGCAGTGCCACAGTGTAAAAATATGCCATAACAACAAAGTATTACTAGCAAAATGAACATAAAGTTCCGGGCACCGTGGCTGAGTCAGTAATCATCTTTAACCTTTTTCCTGATTTTATTTGAGTTTTAGTTTAGTGTCTTTTATTTCCTTGGATTTTATACACTTTTCTTTTTCATCTGCTTTATTTTCTCCCTGATGTTTTTTGCTGCCTTTGTGTGGAATTAAAAAAGTCCTCTACACTCATGATCAAGATTCAAATGGAAAAGTACTTACTGATGCATGTGTGAGTAGCATTTAACAGCTTATCTAGCTAATCATGTATTTTTTATGAAAAAGCCTGATTTGTAAAGCAACTGGCAATTATAGCTGTCAAATAAATGTAGTGGTGTACAAAGTAAAACTTCCTCTGAATTGAAGACATTAAAATAAACAAGCTAAGTACAATTTTTTCTCAATTATAGAAGTAAAAACAAAATGAAAACAGATGTTGACAATGTTCGTTATTGTAGTTTTTAAGTTAGAAAGATATTTTATTTCACAGTCTGATAACATGACATCTTCTGTAGCTACTTCTGTATCAATCTGAGGCTCATTTTTTAATGGTTACACAATGACATCAAATGTAAAATTCTTTGAATGCACTGTGATTTAAGACAAACTGTCACATTGATGGATACTCCCTTTTATTAATCACACATTTTATTTTGTACAATATCAATAAATATAACCGTCCTCACCTCCAACAGAATGCAAATTCTTGATGAGATTTGTAAAAACAAAAACAAAAACGCACACTAATATAAGAAAAATGACAAAATACTACTTCACTTTCACCAGTATTTCAAGAAAAGTCTTCCCATCTTTGAAGGCATCGTTGGTTGAGGCATCTCTTTATCTTTCAGTCCGTTTAAAAATCCACGTCACTTCCAGCACACCACGATGTTGGGATCATTTTCCAAACGTTCGTCCAGCTCCTGGTAACTGATGCCTGTAAAATGACGACACTGTAAGCAGACTTGTTTGCCACCATTAGATATTCTCCATACTCAACACACAGAGAGAAACCTGCCTGTTTTACAGCAGATCTCATCGAAACTGTGACAGCCGGTAAAGAGTCGAGGCAGCCGGCTCCGCTCGTCACGGATCACCTTCACTGGATATTTCTGCAGCCGTCGAATAAGAGTCTTCATCAGTCCAAATTGGATCAGCCTCCTAAAAAAACAACACGACATACATGTAAACAAAAGTCCCTCCGACCTAACTTTTTATTAGTATTTGCAGGAACTGGTAAGGTGATTGATGCCGACCTCTCGTCAACCCTTTGAAGCTGCAGCGAGTAGCGAGAACAAAGGTCTCGGACTGTGGTTCCTGGACTCAGACCACAGTACAGCTGGAACACGTCCCTCAGACTGGCACGCTTCTGACCTGACCAACAATCAAACAATGAATGTCACAAAAGAAAGAAAACCACTAGTGTTCAACAACCATCAATAACCATGACCCTTATTTACCTTGCTTAGTGACGTAGTTGAGGCACTCCTCCTGAATGGACTTATCATCTATGAGGCTCTGGACTTTGGGGGTGGTGCAATACACATTAGAGTACTGGAGGGAGGTAAAAAGGCACACCACCATCACCAAACTTAACAAACCCTCCAATTGTTAGCACACAGAATTAGCCTGCTGTTAGGAAAAAAAATTGATATCAAAAGAAAAAAGTTTTAGATGTAAAAAGTAGTAATATTTTAAGATTAAAGTCGAAAAATATGATAATATTATTTAACAATGTTAATACTCTTCAACAGATATGTGCTTTGACATGTCATTTGAAAGATGTGGATGACCTTAAATTATTATTTTTTTTTTTTTTCCACAAAATATTAGGACTTTTCTCAAAATATTTACATTTTACTCTCAAAATCACAGCGGCCTAATATCAAAAATATAGAACCACCATACCTGAAATATTGACACCAAGGTCACAACACCATAATACCTGTGGAGGAAGAGGAAGACTTACATATAAAAGACTT